GAGCGATGGCCTCAAACCTAAGAGCGATGGCCTCAAACCTAAGAGCGATGGCCCCGAACCTAAGAGCGATGGCCTCCAACCTAATAGTTTTGTACACACATATGTTTATGCAACTTTTCAACAGTTTTGTCAACTAACGCGTGACCACTCACTCGCAGTAACCTTTTTCTAGGTCCCGATACTTTTTGACTTCCGTAGGCAGCTTGGGCGCTGCAACTTGGCCAGATCTTTCATTGTGCGACGGGCAATCTGGTCCAGTATCAGGAATGTGTAGGAGCTCTGTATGGTGCTGCCATCTATTGCAAGCACTAAACCTAGTAGCAATGGCCTCCAACCTAATAGCGATGGTCTCTAACCTAGAAGTGATGGCACAAATATCTGCCACAGCATCACTTTTCAAGACTGCCACGCTAGTAACAAGTGCCACGCTAGTAGTAACAGGTGCCTTACTAGTAGTAACAAGAAGATAGTAGAAACAAGACGCCAGTAGTAACAAGAATCACTTTTCAAGACTGCCAAGTCATTGAGGTCTTTTCCCCTCGAGTTTTGGAGAGCCTCATCCGTCTGTCTCGAGTATGGCGGCCTGGAATTGGTGCAGAACAAGTTTACACAAGTATGGCGACCTTTTCTCGTTTGTGCGCTGAGGCACATGCGCGGCTTATGCAGCATGGTGCGCAATTTTGAATTTGCACAGCAGTTGAGTTGTTGTCCAAAAAGGTTCGTGACGGGCTACACCAGGTTCAGTTCAGCTCGAAGATGCCATTGCCGTGATCTTTCTTCACCAGGACAGATGGTTGATTTTGATCCGAAGTTCGTTGAGTCTTCCACGGAAGACGTCCAAAGGTTGCATGGAAGAGCCATTCCCCAGAAACCGAGCAGGCGCAAAGCCCGAAAAGCTAAGGGCAGGGAGAAGCATCACGTGAAATCATGAAGCCCATCGCTCTTAGGATGGAGGCCAGGTTGCAGGCCATCGCTATTAGAAACAAAGAAAAAGAAGAGGAAGACAGGTGTAATATTTACTATTACACGATGGTAGGGCATCCTTTGATAAGAGGCCCTTCATTTTTGCTTTTTTCTTTTTGAGAAGGTGCATCTCAGCATTCCGAAAGTGCCGGCACAACGCGTAGGTCTTACTATCGCACTTTGGCCCTGGCTGTCCTGAACAAATCCAGCGTTTGCCAGCTCAGCACGAAAAAAATTCTAGCGTTGCTTTTGATGAGTGAAAAGACCATTGCCATTGTCCCTGAAGAAAGGACACTGCAGTGATTTAACTCATTTGTCCGCAGGGTGATGAAAAACTCATCTCCAGGCCTGGATATGAGCAGTGATATCACATGCCGGAAAGACTACGAGGCGAGGGGGTCTGGCGTGGGTCCTTCATGACTTTCGAGTTGTTATGGTTTCTTTCGTTCTTTCAAGCTTGTTAACAAGCGTGAGGGCCTAGTAGTAACGGGTGCTGGGTAGATAGCAAACCTGCTAAGCGCATCATTGTTGGTTGATTTACTTTGTCGCATCACTCCATAAATGCCATAGTCATTGGACTAGATGCTGTTCAGCATTCTCTTATTTCCAGCTTTCCAGCGTGAGGCTCTTGTTTCCTATTCTCAGGTGGTGGAAGGAGCAGTTCTATGGTGCTTGGGTTTCCAGGACATCAAAACGTTTGGAGCACACACACACACACACACGCCGCAAGAAATACAAGTTGCACAAGTTGGATGTACTGCTTTTTGGAGGGACTTGCGAACTTGCAGCTGTTGACTGCCAGCTGAAGCAGAAGCTTCCAAGATGCTCAGTTATGATGAGTCGCTGCAGTTTCGGCTCAAATTTGTGCAAGTGCTTACATAATTCCAAGCTGCTAAGCAGCTCTATTCTGTTAGTCTCCATCCAATCCAAAATTTGTGAATTCTATCTCAACGGGAAACCTTCTTGGCAAACAGACAAGGCCATGGCGGAAGAGGCCAGGAAAGAACCGAGTTTGCATCATTTTACCTTTGTTTGATGGTTTTGGCTTTTTCTGTGCCTAGTAGCCTTCTTGTTCCTAGTAGTAAGGCCAGGAGCCCCTAATAGCGATGCCCTTTGGTCCCACAATCTGTCAGAATTTTGAAGCTGATTTCCATTTGCTGGTAGGAGCAATGTTGGCTACTAGTAGCAAAGGGCATCGCTACTAGTAGCAAGGACGCTACTAGGGGCTGTTGGCCTTACTACTAGGAACAAGAAGCTACTAGTAACAAGGGCCTTGCTATGGCCGCCGCTTTAGGAGTTGCATGTGGTCGCTGAAGCTTTGGCCACCCACGCATGCCAAGATTCAGATGCTGCTGCACATGAGCTGCTGCATGCCTTGGGAGTAGAGGTCGCATTGAAGTGCTTACTACTGCGTCTTGATTTTTTTTCTTGGATCTTTTACACGACAGCAATGGCTTCCACCCCAAGAGCTATGGCCTCCAACCTAATAGCGATGGCCTCCACTTTGATTTAGTTATTCACTTCTGCTTAAATTGCTCAACTCTGAACCTCCTGACAGCTTGGCAGGAGCCGCAGACGGCACAGACAGAGGCAGCAGAAGAGCTGCTGCGTGCACTGGGAACACAGGAGCCCGATCCAACCGCTGTATAGAGAGATCGAACACATGTGACTAAAGCTGAGGCAAGTCATAAACGAAAGCGTGGCAAAAAAGGATTTGTAGCCTGGAGTCTGAAACGATCTTCGTTTTGATGCAATTCTTGTGCCAGTACGATATCGTAGCTTCAGCTCTTGCCACACACGTGGCTGATGTGGCGGAGACTGAGCAGCAGCTGGAACTGGCGGCTGGCGCGTTGGCAAGGCACTTGATGAGTGATGCAGTAGAACAGGACGTGAAGGCCGGCCCGTGAAACCCAGTGAACCGTGGTAGTCTTGTGCACATGAAACCTCCAGCGCAGCGCAGTGTACAGGATGGTGCGAATGCGACTGTGGTGATGCAGGTGGCTTGCAAAGCACTGTATGCCAAGAAAGCCTAAACCTCCCATAGATGGCACCAACACGCTGTAGGTGGGATTTCACATCACATCACAGATCAGCACACAGCTTGATTGACGGCTTCTCCTTTACAAACTGTGTTGGCTGTTTCGCAACATTGAGATCACTGAGGATCTTGACTTCGAGGCAGTGAAGGTGGGAAGGAAGAAAGACTTGCCATGAAGAGACAAAAGAGACCCTGGCCCCACAAAATGGCATCTCAGACAATGCCCTCTATTCGGCTTCACTCTTTTTGACTCAGAGCCTGCCTTCACAGTTCCTGTTCAGGCCGATATCAAGGCAGTGGCCAAGGTGCACGACTCACAAATCGAGAAGTCGCTTCACTGTGCGACGGACCTACTAGCGATAGCCTCAAACCTAATAGCGATAGCCTCCAACCTAATAGCGATGGCCTCAAACCTAATAGCGATGGCCTCCAACCTAATAGCGATGGCCTCCAACCTAAGAGAGATGGCCTCCAACCTAATAGCGATGGCCTCCGACCTAAGAGAGATGGTCTCCAACCTACTAGCGATAGCCTCAAACCTAATAGCGATGGCCTCCAACCTAATAGCGATAGCCTCAAACCTAATAGCGATGGCCTCCAACCTAATAGCGATGGCCTCCAACCT